GTGTAGAAGGAGAAGACGCTTGTGTCGGACTTGGTTAAAGGAGAGGACAGTTGTGTTGGACTTGGTAAAAGAAGAAGACACTTGTGTCGGACTTGGTAAAAGAAGAAGTGATGTGGTGTTCTGGTGGGGGAGTTACTCTCCATTAACCAGTCCAGTTATATACGATTTCTCTATATGAAACTAATGCCGTGCTAAGCCCGGTGGAGCTCTGGATATTACGGTATTTTTAAAAAGAAATAACTAGTGCGGAATGAAGGACTTTTTAGAAGAAAAAGGAAAAGAATTTCGATTTAATTAAGACTTCCAGTCTAGAAGAAGACATCAACAAACCGAGCGAGAATGATAGTCATTCATTTGAGTGTCTTTCCTCGAATTTCGAAAACTTGAAAACAAGTTGGTACCCTAACTTAAGAAAGTACTGTATTTTAAAGAAGACCTGTAACAATTTTTCCACAGCATTATGGTTTCTTAATCTGTTCGATTCTCAATTGCATGAAGTCTTTGGGTTTCTGCCAGCTAATCACGACTTGGAGTACAATACTCCAAAAACTCTTTCGTAAGGGGGGCCATGAGATACAGCTGCGATAACGTTTTCACTAGAGTGGCGGCGACATAGAAAGATGAGCGCTGAGGAATCCTGCGAGTCGGATGACGAAGCGGAGCAAGAATCATTTTCTCTACTGTCAGTCCTCCCTTTGAAATACCCGACGTGGTAATTCGTTTTCTTCCTCTGATGTGTGTGATGTGTGTGTGTGTGTGTGTGTGTGCGTGCGTGTGTGTGAGTGTGTGTGTGAGAGGGAGGGGGGCTTACTTACGCGTTACGTCGTAAGGTTGATGTGTATGAGGATACAGTTTAGCCAAAATGAAGAAGTCGCGGTCGAACGTGCGTTGTCGTCCGACCTTGCTGTCTCGACGCGAGACGGCCTCGATAGGAATCCTATTAGTATTCATCTATTCCCTTCTTTAAATCATGTAGCCTTCATGTACTGTACCATCCACCATCGGTGGTATCGTATATTGGAGCAACATCCACCTAAAACCAGATAGCGTGAATGTTGACCCAGGCGGCTTGGAACGACATTCACCAGTGCTTTTTATGCGTTACCGTAGTTTATTAGGTATTCCGTCCTTTTAGCCTATCACTTGCAAGCCACTATACTTTTAATAATTACAAATGTAGCACCCTAATATTTTATAGAGGATCGTCGACGGTTTTCGATCGCCCCTAAAACTCTGGATATGAATATCCAGAGAATAGCACAATTATATTCCACTAGATAGTCATCATCATATCGGAGATGCTTACTTCAACAGGATGCCGTAGCTCGATTTATCAGCCAGTCTGGCTTGATCGATTTGTACTTTTATAGACCTCGATCTAATAAAACGACCTATTTTTATTATAAATCGAGCGTCAGGCTAAGTGAAAAGGACAAAAGCTATTATCTATTGTGTGTCTGATACTTGCCAAAGTGGAGATGGCTCTTCAGAAAGGTCTCGATTTGAAGAGGGATGAAATACAGATATTACTACACCATTTCCCGGCCAAGTTACCAGTTTTACCAACCATCGTGCAAATGGCCCGTTCTTGTGAGATCTAATTTAAGGCTGTGTGGAGACACACCATTTTTAATTTTAGGCTACGGCACTTTGGCGATTGTGCGAAGAAAAAGCCACTTTCCCACGACTTGCATTTCTGCCCATCACGCTTTTCAAGCAGGTTGCAAACCCGGTCAACTACATAGAGTGTTCGTTACGCATGCTCTGAGGCTTCACTGCTACCCCGTTATTCAGAGAAGAAACAAACCACACACAAAGCCAAACACCGACTCCGGCATTCACAGTACCTTATTAACATCATTTAAGTTGTCCTAGAATAAAAAATGTTTTGGAGGGCTTCATTTCTTGAAGCAGCATGAGCCGTGCCCTTTGATGCGGTAACGTAGGCTCTATGTATTTGACCAGGTTTGCAAACTGCTTGAAAAGTGTGATGGGCAGAAATGCAAGTCGTGGGAAAAGTGGCTTTTTCTTGCAAATCGCCAAATGCCGTAGCCTAAAATTAAAAATGGTGTGTCTCCACACAGCCTTAAATTAGATCTCACAAGAACGGGCCATTTGCACGATGGTTGGTAAAACTGGTAACTTGGCCGGGAAATGGTGTAGAGACTCTAACATAGAGTAGAGCAGTGGGGAAGGTACAGATGCAGTCTTTAAGCGTAGAGATGCTCTTAGAACATAGCGAGTAGGTTTATTATAAGGGTCTTTTTTTACGAAACAGAAAGCTGCGAAATCAATTCACAGCCGGCAATATCGATGGCAACACAATAGACTTTTGCTGAGACGATGTCAGACATCATGTCTCGATCGCCGACTCGGATAAATGGCCTCGGCTCAGATCCATCGCGATCTTCGCCTATCGAAATGAACAGAGTCAGTCCATCAATGCCCGTCTACACCTCACCAGATGGGATTCGGATTGAACGAGTCCGTTGCTTCGCGTTCCGAGCAGATCCAGTCGCCTCGCCGCGCAATGCGATCTACGGACAGCGTTCATACGTGCGCTACATGTTTTGTGACGCCAGCTTTGTTTACTTTCGGACAAAGGGCCAGCCACTTCCAATTCCATCGCGTAGCTGGCAGTGGCAGACCGAAATGGCGCGACGGATACGAGTGCACGCGGCTGTAATAGCTGCAGTATTGACGACCTTCGACGCTGTGCAGGCGACAAAAGAATACACCACCAAATCGGGTATTTTGCCTTGGGTGGATCCGGCGACGCCCAGCGCCCGACAGACGTACACGACGTCACGTGGCGCAACGTGGGACTTGGTCATGAGCGACGAGTTCAACACGGCAGGCCGCAGCTTCGAACCTGGCGACGACCACCTCTGGACGTCCATCGACAAAGCTGACGGTGTCAACTCGGCGCTGGAAATTTATATGCATAATATGACCGGCACCCAGTGCGACGGCGACGACTGCTACTTCTACATCGAGGCCGACACGGGTGAGACCGTACTAACCCCAGGGGTGCTCATAATGTAATTATTGAAACAATTAATTGAGATTTTTTAATTTAATTATTAATTTGTAGTACAAAATTTAAGTTTAAAAGTTTCCCCAATTTTTACAGTAGCAGACACAGTAAAAGTATTGTTTTTTACTGTGCTGCTCACCTCAAGCCTTGACAACCAGTAGTTTTAAAGCCGAGAAGGAAGCTAACAAGACGCTGAATCCATTCATCCACGCATACTAGCACATTAGTCATTCTGCAATTTACCATGCCCCTCGAAACTCGCATTCTTGTCCGCACTCTCACGACCCAGGAGACGCCTGGGTTGTACAGCTGTAACAGCTGCTCCAAGACGATCAAGTCCGTTAACGGCTCCACTAATGTGATTAAACATCTCAAGCGCTACCACCCTACCTACGCAACCGACGCCGAAGCTGCACTTCGGACACAGAACCTTTTGTCGCTGCGTCTTGTTGATCAAGCCACCACCGATTTGTTTCGTTGGATTGAGTGGACAGTGATGGATTGTCTACCCCTAACGTTTTGTGAGCGGGAAATGGTTCGTCAAAACGCCAAGCTTCCTCGCACTTGCGCCAGAACGCTAAAGCTGTATCTGGATGGAATGGTGCTCGCCGTTGTGCCGTCCATCGTTAAGATTTTGCCTACGCGGTTTGGTATCGTCCTGGACGGATGGACAAGTGGTGGACGACACTTTATTGCGATCTACGCTGTTTTCGATGATAAGGACAGTATTGAAGTCCCCCGAAAGAGTGACTACCAAGATGACCTGGAGTGCCACTCACGCCGGTTTATTTTGCTGGCGTTTAGCCCAATGGAGGATGAGGGTGATTTAAGCGCTCAAAGTCTGTTTGACTTGATCGCGGACACCTTGAGCCGCTACAAGCAGCCATGGGAGTCGGTAGCTTTCATGGTTGGTGACAATTGCAGTGTAAATCAGTGTATTGGCCGTCGGGTTGGAGCTATCCCGCTAATCGGGTGCGCTAGCCATCGTTTTGCACTGGCAGTGAAGGACTTCATGAAGCAAGACGAAGGACTAATTGATAAAGTCCACAACCTGATGAAGAAGCTGAGTACGATCAAGGGAAGAGCGCTGCTGCGCTCCCACACGAGTCTTTCGCCTGTTATGCGCAATGATACACGCTGGTCAAGTACGTACGAGATGCTGCGACGCTACACGAAACTGGAACCGGTGTTGCGCTCACTAGATGACGAAACCCGTGCTGCTTCGGAATCGGAGCCGCTTTTGTTAAGACGCTCGGAAAACATTCGCGTCACTTCACTACTTGCTGATTTGACCAACTTTGAGTCGGTTACTAAGACTCTTCAAGGTACAAGTTTGACGCTATCCGCCGCTCGGCGCCTTTTCGACCACGCTATTTCCAAATACCCGAAAATGAAACCCCGACTGTCCCCAACCGCCGCAATCGTCAATTATCCTGCACTCGAATCCGGTCTGGTCAAGATCCAGCGAGGTCAATCTCTCACGCCGCCTGAGCGAGCTGCCTGTGCGGCGTTTCGTGTCACCAGCAGCCCTGATGAAGATCAAGCTGAAGAGAGCCCTGAAGGTCCGTCATTTGCAGCTCAAGCGCTCAAGAGGCTCAAGACAACGAAGCGGAGTGCGTATGTCGACGTCGGGTACGTACCGCCTACATCGAATGAGTGCGAGAGACTTTTTCACGTGCAAAGCTTATATTTAGTGACGTGAGGAAGAGTATGGATCGCGTCACTCTGGAGACGCTAGTCTTCCTGCACTGCAACCGTTCACTGTGGAGTGTGTACACTGTAGAAGAAGTTCGAGCTACAATCCGCCGCAATTCTGGCAATTCTGGCAACTCAATAATTCATTCTTGATGTTTTCAGGCCAAGATTATCTAACATTTTAATTTTCACAGCCCTGACTCACCCTCTGGAACGACTACCTGTCTCCAGCAGTTACGAAGATGTCACATTCTACTACAAGGCCGCAATGGTGCAGAGCTGGAACAAGTTCTGCTTCCAAGGAGGGATGATCGAGGTGCGCGCCCAGTTACCGGGCGCCGTCACCAACGCGTCCGGCAATCCCGACGTCAAAACCGGGTCGGGTAGTGTACGCGCGTCCAACATCGACTACTACCCAACGTGGCCCGGTATCTGGATGATGGGCAACCTTGGTCGAGCCATCTTCAGCGCGTCGACGGCGCGTATGTGGCCCTTCTCGTACAATGAATGCAACGCGATCATTTTCGACTCTGATAACCAGCGCATCTTCGCGTGTGACGATGATCCAGGGCATGGGTTGAACGCGAATCAAGGTCGCGGGGCCCCGGAGATCGATATTCTGGAAGGTGGCGGTACTGCCATTTCATCGTCCGTTCAGGTTGGACCGGGAATGCCGGAGAATTTCCGACTCATCGCGGACGCCGAGTCGTCCTACTGCTTCTACACCTACGACTGCACCACTGAAGGCGCCAACAACATTGACGTCCCGACGGCGTACTATGAGAATCTCCGTGGCCATAAATCGTGGTATCAGGGGCTTCGGTACGGCGCTAACAACTTCTGCGACGAGGATTCGACACTCGTACAGTCGTACAAGACGGTTGCTGCGTCGATGGATAAAGGAGTTACGGATAACGCGTGCACCATGAAGTTGTGTCCTGCGTCGTACGACGTCAATGCCGACATCAGCAACCTCGACAATGGCACGGACCACTGGGGGATCAACACGAACGGCACCTGTTTCCCCAAGATGAACTCGTACAGCGGTGCGTTCCTGTGCAGTGCCGGTAACAACGACACCAGCTGTACCGCTTCAAGCGGATCGACAGATGCGTCCTCGGAGTTCGCGTATCAGATGGACGCTATATCGTCAAACTGGGAGATTCAGGTCTCAGCTTACACCGACTGGCTCACGTACCAGCTCGAATGGGTCATGGGAGATGAAGGCTATATCCGATGGATGCTTGCAGGAGAGCCGCTCTTCGAGATCACCGCCGACGTGTTGACCAACCCTCCACAGGACGCGGCCCAGATGAACCCAAAGAAGATCATGCTGGAAGAACCCATGTATGTTATCTTCAACGTTGCGCTGTCGAGTACATGGGGCTCAAAGCCTCCCAACGCTGGCGACGGTGGCTGTTACGGTAACGGTAGTGATGCCACCACGAATGCCATTTGTGACGCCTTCCCGATGTACTTGAAGGTCGACTACGTCCGCGTTTATCAGGACAAGTCCAGCGACTCCAGCATGGCCGTCGGCTGCGACCCTTCCACGCACCCCACCCGACAGTGGATTGAAGACAACATCGACTCGTACGTAGACGACGACAATCCATGGGCAGCTGTATCGGGTAAAGCGTTCTGCGACTCCAACGACGACTGTACCATTGATACCAATTCTTCTTCTTCCATCACCATCGGCACTTGTGTGAGCGGTCGATGCAAGTGCTCGGTCTCCAGTTGGACCGGTTCCCGCTGCACCGTTGCATCGTCAGCAAGTAGTGACAGCAGTAGTGACGCCCTGTTCTCCTCGAATTCGTACGGCCCTCCAATGTACGTGTCCATCGTGTTCATGGGCGTCACAGTCCTCACCACGCTGGTTTCCGTGTACCTGTCCTACCTGGCCGCTCGCAAGAGCGACGAACTCCTCCTGAAGGAGATCATGGCGAAGAAAGGACCGCAGTCTTCTGCATCTCTGGGTGAGTCTATGGTGAAAGCACCGAAAGAAAACTACAGCACCAATTTTGTGTAGCTTCGTATTTTTAATAGCTGGTATATCAAGTGAAGATAATAAGTCCATCGGTTAATCAATTCGCCATGGGTTTTCTATAGCAAACCTCGTCGCGCAAGGTAGACGTTTCGACGGAGGCAATGCGTTACAAGCGCTAAAGCTGAAAATTAAAGCATGCACTGATCTCAGGATCATGAGATAGGGTTTCGTCCATGAACTGAGTTAGCAGAGCTCTGCCACGTTGCTTTCTTACATACAGTACAACGTGTTAACAGAGCTCTGCCACGTTGCTTTCTTACATACAGTACATGGTATAGGTCATTTTTGCAGAAAGCTTGTAAAAGGACTGAGCGGTGATACCGGGACGCTGATACAGCGACGAGTTTAACTTAGAGGGTCTCGGAGCGCAATGCGGTCTCAAAAAGGTCACTAAGACGAGATGATCTGAAGTGTCATTCGCAGGAGCATCAACGAGTAAACGATTTTCAGATCATGATTATTCCCCATACGAAAGTCCAGAAATGTGCTCTGCTTGGAATGCAAAGAGCGTAGTCAATTCCCAGTGTCTCACTGGAGCACTTCTTATGTGCCATCATTCACACTCATGACTCGGCCTTTCGAGCTCAAACGCCCAGCTGCTACAAAGTCGGGTGGACTGTCGCCGCGTGCGTGGAGGGAAGCACGGTGAGTGTTTTAGCTGTCCAACAGGCGATGTGTTCTACAGAAGTTAGGACTTTTCGATACCCATAACCAATTTTGCCGATTCCAGGTCCTCCTTTGGCAAGAACTTGATACATTGTATCACCATACGACTAGGTACAATGGTCACTCAGGAGCTCACTGGATGTGCTCTTCTAGTGTCTGTAGCACTTGGCTTGACCCCCACTGCATGTGCAACAGCATCACACACGACCAAGTCGGGTCTGCTACCCTGGGTGGACGTTGATACACCTGCTAGCGCGCAGAGCTACACCTCGTCACGAGGGGATATCTGGACACTCAATGAGCGACGAGTTTAACACGAAAGGCCGCACTTTCGAAGCTGGTGACTATCACTTGTGGACTGCCATGGAGATCGCTGATGGCGTAAATTCAGCTCTGGAAGTTTACTCGACGAATATGACAGGCACCGAGTGTGACGACGACGGTCACTGTTACTTCTTTATCAATACAACCGATGAAACTATCGAGGAAACAGTGTGGAACAGCTATAGGTCACCACCAGGATACGAGACTGTGTACTTCTACTACCGGTCGGGAATGGTGCAGAGCTGGAACAAATTCTGCTTCCAAGGCGGTATGATCGAGGTTCGAGTACAACTACCCGGTGCAGTCACGAACGCGTCCGGTAACCCAGACGTGACCACAGGATCGACAACAGTTCGCGCTGCAAATATCGACTACTATCCAACGTGGCCCGGTATCTGGCTCATGGGCAACATGGGTCGAGCCTTGTTCAGTGCATCGACGAGTCGAATGTGGCCGTACACGTACAGCGAGTGCAACGACACCATCTTCGACTCCCAGAACCAGCGTATCAGCGCGTGCAATGACACTCCTGACCACGGTCTGAACGCGAATCAAGGTCGCGGAGCTCCAGAAATTGACATTCTGGAAGGTGGAGGTACAGCTATTTCGTCGTCAATGCAGGTCGGTCCGGGTATGCCGGAAGATTTCCGAATGCTGGAAGATAACACCACAGCCTCCTCCTACTGCTTCTACAGCTACGACTGCACTACCAAAGGCGCCAATAACCAGGATGTTCCGACTGCGTATTACTGGAACCTGCGTGGCCACAAGTCCTGGTATCAAGGTCTTCGGTATGGAGCTAACAACATCTGCGACGTTGAAGAGGATGACATCCAGACATTCGCTACCATCAATGCTTCACTTGCGAAGGGTGTCACAGATAATGCCTGTAGAATGGAACTATGTCCTGCCTCGTTCGATGTGAACGGTGACATGGGGTTCAAGGACAACGGCACGGTGCACTGGGGCATCAACGCGAATGGCACTTGCTTTCCTAAACAGAACGCTTACATGGGTGCGTACCTGTGTAGCCCCGGTAACACCAACTCCGAGTGTACCGCTTCCAGCGGCTCTACTAGTTCCAGCTCGGAATTCGCCTGCCAAATGGATGCCATTTCTACAGATTGGGAAATTCACATGGCTGCGTATCTTGACTATACTGTCGAATGGGTCATGGGAGACTCTGGATACGTTCGATGGGAGGTAGAGAACCAGGTGATCTTCGAGATCCCTGCCGAGTCGATCACTAATCCACCACAGGACACAGCACAGATGAACCCTAAGAAGATCATGATCGAGGAGGCCATGTACATCATTTTTAACGTCGCGCTCTCCAGCTCCTGGGGATCCTCGCCACCAAACCTGGCTCAGGAAGTTGTCGCGATGACGGCTCGAGCTCAATGGACATCGCGATCTGTGACTCGTTCCCAATGTATCTGAAGATCGACTACATCCGTCTGTACCAGGACACATCGAGCAGCACAGACATGGCGATTGGTTGCGATCCTTCTACCCACCCGACCAATCAATGGATCGCGGACAATATTGACGACTACACTGACACAGAATATCCGCTCGCTGCTGTATCGGGTATGGCGTTCTGCAACTCCGATGATGACTGACGGTGGGCATCTCGTCGGTCATCACTGGCACATGCAACTCGAACGGTCATTGCGAATGTGCCTCCGACTCATGGACTGGACCTCGATGTACAGAGGTGACCAGCGTCAGCGACAACGACACTCTGTTTGGTCCGCCGCTTTTCGTCTCGATAACTGTTGCCACTGTCATCATCGGTGTCGGAGCTTGCGTCATTATATACCGGCGCTGGCATACCAACTCAAGATTCGTGTCCAGGAGCAAGAGAAGGAGCTCAATAGGGCCTCAACCAGGATCTCCGATACTGCCCCCAAAGTCGAGAGGTCTCTTGACGACGCGTGTGTTAGACAGAGGTTATACTGTGAGAGTGTAGAAGTGATATTTGCTCTGTTAACCATCTTCCTGTGGCAGCCACCCGTGCCACCACTCCTGTGTGTCCGTATAGTCGGCGGCCGAACCGGTCTTTTCTACCGCCTTGAACCGCAGCTGCTCCAGCCGCACGGTCCAAATCCAACACTCCTCCTCGGTCGTCGCACTCTCGGCAGAACTCGTCACTTCAGCTTGAAGATCTCCCGCAGTTCCGCGATCCTCGGCGCCGGTAACGCCTTCGTGAGAAGATCCGCCATCATCAGGCGTGACTCCACGTACTCGGGCTTCACTATCCCTTTCCTGGCAAAATCACAGATGAACTTCACGCGTATGTCCACGTGCTTCGCACTCGCCATGCTCTCCTCGGATTCTAGCTGCTTAATCGCCGCCTGGTTGTCCATTCTCATGGGCACTGGCTCCACTACCCGGAAACCCAGCTCACGCACCAGCTCCCGAAGTCCCAGCAGCTCGCGCCCCACCTGCGACGCTGACGTGAACTCGGCCTCCATCGTGGAGAGCGACACGCCGGTCTGCTTCTTGCAGATCCACTGCACCACAGCCCCATCCATCGTCACGACTCCTCCAGTCACCGACTTCCTGTCGCTCTTGTCGGCGGCGAAGTCTGCGTCGCTCCAGCTCTCCAAAGCCATCACGTCGTCCTTCCTCGTCGGCGCCTGCATGATCAGCTTGACGCTCTTCGTCCCCTTCAAGTACCTTGCGACCCTCTTGGCCAGCTTCCAGTCACTCGTGGTCGGCTGGTGTGTCCTCCTCGTGGCCTTATGCACAGCGAAACTAATGTCGGGTCTCGTACACCGTGCTATCCAAAGCAAACTTCCCACGAGCGACTGGAAACGGCGGATCGTTGGCTCACCCGGCGCACCCACCTTGGTCAACAACTGCGGCTCGTCTACCTCCGCCTCGTTGTGCTCATCACCAACAGGAACCCGCACACTGTTCGCGTTTGCCAGCCCATGCTGCTCCAGCAGCTCCTCGATCGTCGCCTGCTGGTCCAGCGAGTACCCCTCGCTGCTGTCCAGCTCCACGCGCATCCCCAAGAATTTCCTCACCTCGCCCAAGTCTTTCACGGACAACACGCTCATGGAGCAGAAGAAATCGTCCACCAGACTCGGCTTGGACGCGGTGACCAGGAGATCATCCACGTACACGCCCACGAGCGTCATCTCGCCGTCCTCTCGCTTGTAGTATAGGCACATGTCCGTCACGCACCGTGTGAACCCCGCCTCCTCCAGCTTCGCCGTGCAGGAGTTGACTCCACAGCCTGCCTGCTTGGCGTAGGCCCGTACAACGACTTCCCTCAAGCGCAGCGCCAGCTTACCTTTGACGTTCACTCCGAGCCTGCGCATCACCTCATCTCCGATCACCATTCCCTGTGGGATCTCCAGGTAGATCTCGAGATGCTGCTCCTTGTCGGCCTTTACGTACGCGTTGGGGATGTCCCCGTGCCTCGCCGGCACGCCCCAGCGACGAGCAAAAACCAGGATGACCTTCACCGTGCTCAGTTCCATGACCGCCGCGAACGTGAGCCCGAAGTCCACGCCAAAGATCTGCTCGTTGCCGCACGCAACGAGCCTGGCCTTGAACCTTTCTATGGCTCCGTCTGCATCAGTCTTGGTCTTGAATACCCACTTAGTGTGCAGTACGTGGCTGCCGATCGGTGGCACCACCACGACCCACACGCCGTTCTCCTCCAGCGCTTTGAGCTCCTCCGCGATGGCAACCAGCCATTTCCTCCAGAGCTTGCTCCTCTTTGCCTGCCGGTAGTTCTTCGGGTCGGGCTCCCGCACGCTTTTCACCACGTCCGCGGTCTGTTCCACCCGATTTTCATCAGCGCCTCCACTCGCCACCGCCTCAGCGGGCTTCCGCGTAGTCGAGCGCGTCTGATGCCTATCCCGCGTCCAGCGAGATTTCTTTCCGCGACGCTTCGCCTTTTCCTTCGTCTTTGTCCTCGAAGTGTCTGTCTCCAAAGCGCCCGTGCCCTCCGACTCCTCGGAGTCCTCCAGGTGCACGCGCTTCAATTGCTCGTTCTGCACGTCTGACAACGTCTCGACGTTGCTCACATGCTGCGTCACTACGACTACCTTATCCTTCGGGAGATACACCCGGTAGCCTTTAATCTCGTCGTTCTTTCCCACGATCATGCCCGCCTTGCCCCTTTCACCCAGGGACTTGTTCTTTGCGTCCACGTGCACCGTACAGGGCGACCCGAAAACCACGATGTCACTCAAATCCGGTGTGTTCTTCGTGAGCATCTGCAGTGGCGACTTCGATCCCGGGTTAACCTTCGTCGGGCTCCTGTCTAGGATATAGGCTGCATATTCCGCAGCATCCATCCAGAAACTAAGGAA